GATTGGTCCCATTGGATATAGAGTGGTGAGGCACCAGAACAGGTTGCCCAGAGAAGCTGTGGATACTCCATTGCTGCCATTGTTCAAGGCCAGGCTGGATGAGATGTTGAGCAACCTGGTCTAGTGGAAGGTGTCCCGGCCTATGGCAGGAGGTTGGAACTAGGTGACCTTTTTGGTTTCTTCCAACCCAAACCATTCTATGATTCTATAATCTCTTTGTCTTTATTATAAATAAGCTATTGCATGCTACCCAGTACCTACCATTATTAACAGCAAAATTTTGCAAAGGAGGCAGCTTTGTAGCAGCTTCCTGAACAAAAACACCTACAATTTCCCTCTGCAGCCCTAGTTGCTACAAGCTGTGTAACAAATATAGGGTTGGTTTGTTTGGGCTTTTTTAAAGAACCTATGTCCCAGATACTTTGAGAGTTGTTTTTAAATAAACATCCGGGGGTGGGGAGAAGGAGGGAATGAAAAAAATAAAAATCAATCACAGGTACTTTTGGACACTTCTGGACTTGTCTAGCAGAAAGAAAGAGGAAACGTAGAGAAACATTAGCAGAGCTCACTGGAAGGTGCAGGATGACAAACCACATTGTTCAGGTTCTCAGCCCTGCCCCTTTACACAACCAACACTGTAATGGGAATTGGTACCTTTTCTTCCTTCCACCCACTCTTTCCCCTAACTTTGCCTCAAATGCAGATGGGCAAGATAAAGCTACCAACTGTCGTGAAAACCTCCAGTACTTGATTGTGGCGAGACAGTTCACCAGCCTTTAATAGCTGCTCACTGTTCTCCACAAAACAAAGTGCAGGACAGCCTCCTGACTAGCATCGAGAGGCGCCATTGGGAGAACCACCATCCCAGGCAGTTATGCTGGTTTAAAGCTGGTGAAAGCCAGAGACCAAGCTGTCATTCTGAATCCTGCCTGAGGCACAGACTCCACAGTGTGGGATAAGATTACACTTCCACACCCCATGCAGTACCTGTTTTGTAGGTATACAGTTTCAGTTTCCAGGACTATCAGTTTAATGCCCTTGCAGATGCCAAAATTCCCTTTTCTTTCAGGTATCTTAAGTTTGTATTTGGGTATAGACACATGGCAACAAAATAACAACCAAATTAAAAGTTAGTCAAACTGAATTTAACAAGGAATATATATTTTCCTAATACATGCACAACACTGAGACTAAGCACATAAACAGTCATGTTAGATGAGGGAGCTTTCTCTCTTACTTCTGAAAGCATTACACAAAAACATAACCACCCATGGAACAGCAGCAAAATATGCTGGTAATTACAGACATCACTGCCATGCACAAAAGGAGTGGAAAAAACCCTTCAAGAAAACAAAGATTCAGTCTTACTTTCAGAGACCTAAAGCATGTGTGCCTAGCTTTGTATTCACAGCAGTACCACTTAGACTAGAGGTATGCTCCCTATCACTTAAATAAGCACGCAGGTGAAGGATTCCACTAGTAGGTTAGTTGAGACTTTTTTCACTAGTTTGCCATAAATCTCATAAGGCAACCACTTCAATTATTATTCAATTTCATAATCCAGAAACATAAGCATTACTTTTCTATGCTGTATAACTTTAGAAACAGCATTATTAACATCTGAGAAGGCATTTGCCCCCCAGGAGGAAGAGGAGAGGAGGCACCACTTAATATCATATAATTAAGAGTTATCAAGACTACATCCAAGGTGCACAAAGTCAACAGGGCAGACAAGGGAAATACTAAGGTGAATGAAATTGCTTGTGCCTGAATTCAAGGAACAGCTGAGGCCAAAGTTCACACAAAGAGGATGGGTACCTTTAAGTAAACACTGATCTACCTGGACATGTCTTTGTGATTTACATAAAGAACCACATTCACACACTATCTTCAGTCACAGAGAATACTGTGTTTACAGCACAAGCTCTAAGGGAACACTGAAGCTGTTAAGTGTGTGGTTCTGTGCCTGTTTTGTCTGGTCTCTCTGGGGATATAGTTGCAGAACTGCTAGAACTCTGGTGACTAAAACCAAAAACAATTCAAGTACAAAATAAGCTTCTGTAAACTCATACAAATTGTATTTGAAGAGTGTGCTATGTAGCACAATTCTTGTATGTTATAATGGAAGAGAAGAGAGGCTGTTAATACAAGTAAAAAAAGGCAATTCCGAGTAATTATTATTTACACTGTTGTACTATGCAACAGCTGGACCTCAAGACCCTGCAATAGTGGGTGCTACACAGACACGTAACAAAAATGCAGGCCTTGTCCCAAAGACAGGAGGAGGAAAGGAAATGAAAATATTTGGTGAAAAAGGAGTGAATACAATTCACATCAAAGGACAGGAAGTATCAGGAGCATGTGGATATGAAGATCACCGCAGGCTTTCTAATAACTCCAGATAAAAAACCACTTTCATTACTTGTTTACACTGGAGGAACAAACTCCTTGCCTACTAGACTTCAGATTATAGCACAAAGACAAGAAAAAAAATGGCTGATATCAAAATCAATTTACAGAAAATCTCACAATGATAGCCACTTTATGATCCACATAAATGTTTCCCAGATAACAAAAACAACTCTCATACAAACAATAATCAAGACTCAGTATTCTGAGAAAACCTGAACTAACAAAATGGTGATTATCTTAAAACTTCTGATGATATTAAAATATCCTTAATGGAGGAACAAGCTGTCTTATTACTTTGGAGTATTAGATCCATTAAAGACCTCTTGGATTTTGAACTGTTCTGCTGTACAAAGACAAGGTCCAACACGATTATAGAAATGGCAAATGAAGAAGACACACAGTCCACCTCGCATAAAGATAACACTGACTTAGTGTGTGCTTGGGGAGTGAAAGGGAAACCATCTCAGCACGCGCTAGCTGACCAAACAGGCCAGGTAAAGAACTGAGATAAACACTGTAAAGTAGCAACAGAACAGACTCTAAGGACTTAAGGAAGCCTCACATGGGTTGATCCACACATCTTGTGTTTCGGCTCAGAGCTGCAGCACTGAAGTGACCTTGTTTGGTACCATGAAGGGAAGGGGAGAACACCATCCTGAATACATGCATTCTCCATGACCGGGCATTCCAGCTCTAGCCCATCTAGCCACTGATAACACATTCAAATGCACAGAAGGGTAAATAGCTACATGTATCAGTGTGCAAATGATGTTCTATAGACAGTATGAGCCATTTTAAGTCTTCAGTAAAAGAAAAACAAATGGGTATACTTCCACAATACTTTGTACAGACTCCTACATTATTTCTTACTAGGAGCATTCAAGGTAAACCACCAAATTTTTACCTTATTAAAACTACATGCACCTGTTAGTTTGCTGTCTGTGCTTCTGAACATATTTGTCTATTTACATTTCACAGCAACAAGAGGAAAAAAAGAACAGAAACTAGATTCTCAGTTACAAGACTTGCAAAAGATAACCACATCTGTAAAACCACTGCAAGTAGAAAACACTAAGTCAACAAGAAGTTCTACCCTCTGAAACTATCAGTGCCACTGAACAAAACCAGGAAAATTGGTGATTCTTAGCTCTGTGGACTGTTGACTCCAGAAGCCATCCAGTAGCTGTTAAAGGAAAGCAATAGGCTTCTTAAAACATTAAAAAAACTCAGTAACCTCACACTAGAGTTTATATCTCCATTTTATATGGGCAGTTTCAAATACAAAGAAGAGCAGGCAACTATGTACACAAGACCCAAACACATTAGGAACATTAACAATGACCAGCAATATGTATTTTGTCATGTCACTAAATCTGTCAGGTTCTTTACGATACTGAGGAAAACAAAGTACAAGCTGCACACTCAAAAAAAAACCCAAAAGAAATCCGAGTTCTGAATTTGTTTGTAAAAGCTGCCAAGCCATCCTTTTCCTTTAAGAAAAATAACCAGTTAGCTGTAAATGATTCAGCTCTAATAAATATACATACTATACATTTGCTATTTAAATGTTTGCTAGCCTCTCCTATTACATGCTAGAATGGTAACATCTGAAATTTGAAACACTGTCTGGAGGCTACAAAGTAACATTTGTTTTGTAAACAAACAAACAAAAATCTGTTACCATTTTACCCCCATCCTGCATAAGACCAAAAAAGGAGTGTTCATATAAATGGAATTACTTGATCACTAAGAAAATAAAAAGTCTAACAATCACACTTAAAATTCCAGTCATAACTGTAAGGTGAAGGATCTCTGCCAGACCCACAGAATTTAAACCCTAGGATCCATGTGGGAAACATTAATTACATGATATAAGATAGGCGGGGGCTACCTAATCTTAACATACCTCTGTTATAAACCAATGGCTATCAGCATGCCTCTACCATTACCATTCATCCAAGTTAAACACCATAAATATTTTTCTTTAGCAGTTAAAATACATTGGGTTTGGGGTTTTCTGTGTTTATGTGTGTTTTGTTGTTTGGTGTCCCCACTCCCCTCAGACATATAAAAGTCATATTTGAACAATGTGTATTTTTCTATACTCTGCCAAAAGGCACACTGCCTTGCATGCACATGAGTGGAAGTATAGCTGATGTTACATTGTCTTTGGCAAAACTGCCTTCTATAACAGGCAGCTTTCTCTCTTCCTCAAGCCTACAATCACCTGTCTTTTTAAACAGGTATTTATTCAAACTGTGTGCAGAAATGAAAGAAAACACAGAGATTCACTAATATATTTCTGATACAGGACCTTTGTCCCTAGCAGAAAAAATGGGGTTAATAACTAAAAAAGTATATTTTTCTTCCTATCTGAAGCAGATGATTGCATAACAAACCAGGGGATTTAAATAGAGGCATCTCTCGTGCACAGTGCATTTGTGGGTGACAATATGCATTGTCAAACTGCACTAGTCACATACAGAGTCTCTAAAGCACACAGAAGAGCTAATAAAAACAGAAACTGTGCCTGCTGTCCAGCGTTATTTCACACACAGCCCCAGTCACGCTGCAGAATCACAACATACCTTTCAGTCTTTTGGAATTCTCATTCTTTTGCTGCTCATCCTCTTCGTTAATGGTGAATAAACCCAGAGGATTTGTCCTGGCACTTTTCTTCAGTCTCTCTTGTCGTAGGGCAGTAGCTGAACCAGACATGTTGCTGTTGCCTCTTGCTTATTAAGAAAAAAAAGTAAGAAACTCCAGCCCTTACTCAGCCGCTAGCTGCAACACTGCCTGCTCATTTGAGTACTTGTAATAGATCCCCTATGAATAAGCAGTATGCAAACAGATGATAAATACCAACATCCAGTCGGCAGCAAAAGGTTTGCAAGTCTTTCCCCACCTTCAAGAAAAGCCCTAATTAAAGGCACTTTAGTTTGGATGCTGCTCGTCACTGTCTTAACCTGTTAAATCAGATCCCAGCCCACAGCTCTGGGTTCTTTTCTGCAGCACCTTCTTCCTGCAAGCCTCTTCCAGCTACAGCAGACTAAAATATTCAGCACGCCACACAAGAGGAGAAAATATGATACGCTGCTGTTAACAGTTGCCCTGACAACACCGACACATCCTAATCAAAGAGGGTCTATGAGTGTTGTCTCCTCAGCTGCAGCAAGCTGGCCCTGGGAACGCCAGCTCCTGCACGATTGCAGAGAGCTGGAAGCACCTCGGCAGCAGGAGCTGCTCCTTCCTCCTCACAAGGCAGCAGGAGGATGGAACTGTGCTTGCACAAGCAGATGAGCACTGAGTGAAAAGAAGCCTGGAAGGCTCCAGGCATGAACCTGCGTTTTGCCAGCTGCTCTGTTTATTCATGTTTAGAAATATTAGCCTACACTAAAACTAAAACAATGAGGATGAGTTGTCATCTTCTATATACACATGTATTGGGTGTTTCCCTCCACTTAGCTCAATCACCTTCTTATGCAGTGCATACCTTCTGCATTAGGAATGCATACGCCCACAATTACAGGCAGGTGTTGGAACATTCTTTTCCATGTGTGAAAACTCAACAATCAGGATTTCTAGCTTGTACAGACAACAAAAGGACTTTTAGAGTGAATATTCTGTACCACACTATTAGTTTTACAGCACCAAACATTAACATTCACTTTGCAAAACGAACAAAATGCAAACAGCCTGGGTGGTTTTAATTAGTTGGATTTCATTCATATGCTGGATTCTGGATTTTCTTTAAACCGCTTACAACACAGCAGCTGCTTACAGTTTTGAAATCTGTAAGTTCCATCCTTCATGGCTCCAAATGCCACTATGCAGCATGCTGGATGTTTTACCTGTGAGACCTTAAACTTCATCCACTTCCACCTGTCTAATTCAATGTGTGCTCGCCATTTAAAATGCTACTGAAGAAAAACTGCAAGCTAAAACATTCCCATAATGTTAAAACCCCAAGATTTTCCACCATTATATTTTTCAAGCCAATCTTGATGTAACCTGATCAGCCACCACAAGATGGCACATGCATTAGCAGGCAAGTCTGCAGGTGCCTCATTGAAAATACAAGATTATACAGATGTGTATTATCACCTCAACAGCATGGGTAACAATACTGAAGAAGGGTCAGAGTTAAAACAGCCAACATGCTATGTATCACAGCGCCCTGGGATGCTCTTTACAAAGGAGTCCTGGATCATGCTCAGCTGGCAGGATAGCTCTGTTGTTACATACCTCAGGCTCATCAGCCAGGAACCCAGTGGATGGAGAAGAGCAAAGCACCACCTGAAGGCTCAGCGGACTATTTTTTCTTCTTCTTCAGCATGGGCACAAAACACCCAACCAAAGCAGAAGTATTCTGCATGAGGCCACCAGTTCTGAACCAAGCTCACAGTCCACCTCCAGTACGTATTTCCTCGTGGCTACTTCCTGCCACTTGGTTACACCTTAGACTCTGGGTGTATGTGGAAGCTATACACAATGACGTTTGTTTATAGTTAGAGGCACTTTGTACTAAAGGGCATAGATTGTAAACATAAAAGAGTAAAAGGGAAAAGAAAAAAGAAGCTCCAATACAAGCCCTTCTTCATCTCAGTAATTTGCATTCTGGGATTTACAGAGGCTACTGCTTTGATCTGTAAGAGAAACAGCACTATGGGATAACAAATACTACACAACAATACACACATAGCCACAAATAGAGGACAGTAGTTGGTACCATTACTACTTTTCATGAATGCCCAACACTGTTGCCAAAAGAGCAAAGGTAACAGAAAGCAACACTTATGTGGCAGTTTAGTTAAATATTACTCTGCACCTTTTCACTGTTTTAAGTCATTAAGAAAGGATTCCTGCCCTTTAAAACATTATGTTCAATCAATCGAACATTTTTATTGCTGAATTACTTCAGCAGGCATTTTAAATCATATAACAAGTGTCTACCAAAAATACACCTGACTGGAGTGGCTTCTGAAGAGGCTTTCATACTTAAAGTATGACAACTTTTTCAGTGTCTCCATTATCTTTATTATTTGAGGAGTCATGGAGAACACCTACAAGACTGAGAATGCTTTCCTTGGCCCTTGCAGGATCCCCAGAACAGTGACCTGTTCTGAGTACAATATATGACTGAGTTTGATGCTCCAGAGGCTGGTGGAGATGAATTTTGGTTATGACACACAGCCAACAAGGCGTTGGTGCACATTTCTTTCTGCTTCCTAATGCAGAGGTGAATTCTGACAGAGGAAAAGGATCAACAGCACATTTGGCTTACGCAGCCTGATTTTAATTCAAGATCTCTGTGGTTAAAAACTGTGCCAGCCCACGTGTCCAAATGCCTAACAGAACGGCACCCTAGCCACCTGCAACCTATTACAAGTAAAAAACATCTATTACACTGGAAGATACCACAGAACTTTAGGTACTTCAGTTTAAAAAAAAAAGCCCACAAAAAACCAAACAAACAAACAAAATCCAAAACCAAAACAGACCCCAAGAATCAACTTCCTAATTAACACTATTAAATATGCATAAAATGTACCAATCCTGCATACAGCCAGAGAGTACTGATAAATACCATCCTCTATCCATCCGTTTAGGGAAGAAGAAGAAATTCCTGAGGTATCCCTAGCAGGAAAGTTTTGCTTATTTCAGCCTTGCCTCAGCTATGCAGGAGCTTCTATATGAAAACTGGAATGAAAGCAATATTCCCTTGAGGGAATACTTGAGGAACATGGTGGATATTTTTAGTGGCAAGGCTGCTAAATTCTTTAAAAAAAATAAAAGAGATTTGCTTACACAGCCCCTATTAGTGATTTCCCACACCCAATCCTGCCCCTCCGCCCCCAAACCATGACTCGTACTGAGTACCAATACAATCACAGTTCAGCTCTTACTCATGGGGTCAGACTCTCTTAAGACATGAGGGCAACTCTATCTCGAGGGCACTGGGTAATTTGGGGGTTTTCCTTTTTACAGCAATTTAAAACTCATTATCAGTTAAACAACTACACTTAAACACACCCACTTTCACCCACAGGATTCTACAGGTGTAATTACCTGCACAATCTGATATGCAACAATCTTAATCAGCAGTTCAAACAGACTATCAGGATAATTATATTGTGATCTGGGAAATGTAAATATTTATAACAACATCCTAACTGATGTTTCTGCTTTAACATCAGGTATTAAGTCTTGATACCTCTACCTAAGAAATTAAAAGCAAGTTGAAGCCAGTCACCAGAACAGCCACCTACATAGTCTGCTGTGGGTAATCTGATAATTTTCAGTATCTGAACTCTAGATTTGCTATCTTCTTTCATTCACAGGATTGTTTCAGTCCCTGTAAACTATCCAAACACTATGTGAAGCTCATTACTGTGATTTAGCATATAATGAGTTGCACACGATAAGCTCATGTTCTACAGCAACTGCCTTGCAAAGCACTCTGCCAGTCTGAGCTTACTGAACTGAACCTTTTTGCTCTTTCACAGGGAGGAGTGAAGACAAAAGGCAGTATTCAACACAAGTTAGCTAACTAACAGAAAACTATCTTGTCTTTGCAAGGCTTTATGTCTTTCACAAGAGTTGGCAGGCTGTACTAACTAGGACTGTATGTTTTCAAGAAAAAGAAAACAGAAAACAAACACTTGATAAAAGATGGCTTCCAACTGATATTATATCACTGGGCATGTAAGGTTATATTACAGAAAATCAAGCCAACTGAACACAAGCTCATATATTACAGTAAGAAGGACAAAAGAAATTTATAGACAAATCGTCTATGAAAATCCCTTCAAACACAAGCACTCATAAGACATTGCTGAATCACAGTATACAGATTTTTTCCCTCCCACTCCATGAGACACCTCTATGTTTATCAAGGAATTGATAGGAATTTCATGGTCTTCTCTTGCTATTTCGTTTGCATAAGAGCAGTTAAAATGCTGTTTTAAAACAATACCATACCCAAAGCGCAAGCAACCAAGAAGTCAGAGTTTGACAGGACAGCCAACCCTTCCCCCTCTCCCCTCCTGAAAAAAAAAAAACCCAAATAAACAAAATCCCTCAAAACAACAACAACAAAAAACAACCCACACCCCCAAAAGGCAAGAAAAACCCAACCTCAACAATTTGAGGCCTCACAAGCTGTCAATCATAGCACACAAAAATCTACTGTCTGCCATTATTGTGAAACCCAGCTAAGCCCATCCATTGGAGAGATTGCTCCAGCCTTCAATGTTCCCCTCCTCCCTGCTGCCAGCCAGAGCGACTTAAAAATAACAAAGTTCAAGGCACAAATGCATCAAGCCAGCTTCAGCAGTCAGAGCAGCCTGTTCACCACTGCTTGCTCTTCTGACACTGAAGCACTCCAAAGCCTGAGGTAAGTTATAATCTCCAGCCTCAGTTTCTCCAGTTGTAAGATGAAACAATACCTTCAGAAGAATTTTTCTGAAAGAACTAATTGATTCTTATAAGATACTTTTCTATTTTTAAATAGTTCGCATGACCTTACTGTTAGAAGAGCTACCCAGCAACTACTCAACTACTGAAACAATACAGAAAAGTTCAGACTTTTCTGAAAGCTGAATAGAGAAGTCAGAAATGATGCTTCAGTGTTTTCAGAGCATTATTCACAATCCTGTTCTTGAGTTTTATCAAAACCTGCTAACAGCTGAAGACCATTTTCTTGTAGGGTGTAAAATCAAAACAAAGACAAAAAAGCAACCATAAAAAAATAATCATAAACTTGAGACAGGTCTGGGTCACAGAATTTGTAAAGCAAAATAAACACTGTTTTACTTCTGTTCTTGGATGTTGATTTAAGGCTTCCCCTCAACTTAAATGCATTTTATATCACAAATTAGATCAAGTCAATATATTAATGTATAATCCTTTAAGAGTGACAATATTTAATTATTATTTCTAATTTTGTTAGTACTTAGATGTTCAGGAAAAAGGGAGGTATCTGTCTTATATAGTAACATCAGGAAAGAATGTGGCATTTTGCATTTATAGACATGTTTTCCTAGCATGAAAAAGTAAGGCTCCAGATGTTTTTCTTGGGAAGAAAGATGTGGAAAATCAAGGTATAGTTAAAAGATTCCGTCTCATTCTGCAAAAACAGTACACCAAAAACTTTCAGTGTACTCACCCATCAAAATACACAATCATATTTTGCATGAGCATAGAATCATAGAATAGTTAGGGTTTGAAAGGACCTTAAGATCAT